CCTGCCCTCTGCTCGAGCCATGGTGGCCTCTGTTCCTCAGGCATGCTTCTGCCTCAGGGCCTTTGAGCCTACTTTGGCCTATCCCTGAGAGTTTTTCCTTAGATGGCACATGGCTGGCTCCCTCATCTCCTTCAGGCCTGTTGGCTACCCTGTGTGGAGTGATAGCCTCTGATGCTCCCCCACCCCCATTCCCTGCCCCGCTTCTCTGCATCACTTTCTCTTCATCACCACCTGACATGTCCCGTATTTGACTGACTTTGTCATCTCCCCCTCTGAAGCGTAAGCTTTACCAGTGCAGGGATGTAGCTTTTGTTTCCTGAGGTATACCCAGTGTCGAGGGCAGTGACTGGCACGCAGTAGGTGCCCATTCTTGCTGGCTAATGGAGATGATTTTGTAACGCTGGTGTTCTGTGAGTATATCATGTAGCCCGAAGGAGTCTGGATTCCTAGAGCATCAAATGCAAACACAAAAACATATTCCAGAGCCAAATGCAAGTGAAGTTTTGATTCACTCCAGCCTGGCTCCAGTTGAGAAATTGACAGTCACATGCGGCGGGCACTGTTAAATGTGGACATCCTGCCCTGTCAGTGGAGGCTGGGGTTTGAAGTGAGCCTTAGGAGGTGATGTGGATGTTGGCTCTCTCCTGGGAGCCCTCAGTCTCCAGCCTGGTTAGATTCATCCCAGTGTCTCTGGGAGTCCATCATGCATGGCACCTTGACAGGACTGGGCCCTTCCCAGGTGCTTGCACCAGTTCTGGGGAGGAGACTTGGCTGTGAGCATCTTTTAATTCCTTGTACAACCAACGAGTGTGAGGTGGGCCTTGCAGAGTAACTGAGCATCTCAGTGACGACACACTCACCAGGAAACAGAACGTGTGTTTTGGGTGTGAACAGTGTGCTGGCTTGCTCTGAAAAGAGGTAGATTTTGTGTTTAGTGAGCAAAAGTGTTCCTTAGCGGGAGAAGAGAGAATTCTTATAGTTGGCATTACATTTTCTTTTCTCTTGGTCAGTCCTCATCATGCTAGGAAGTGAGGGAGGGGACAAGGTTCGTCTCCTGCCTCACCTCATGATGGTTTTCTTTTCTCAGAGGAATTTTGTGTGGCAGTCCGCTAAGCAGGAGGAGCAATGGCTGAGCCAGGGTGGTCTGGTTGGGAAGAGGCAATACCAGGTCCAGCCCCATCCTTCGTTTCTCCTCTTCTCTCCTGTTGATTTTAGGTGAAGAAGAGTAGATATTAGATTCTAGCCCTTTCTAATGGGAATGTCCGACCTACTCATTTTACTTGGAAAGGTGAAAGACCCTTATTCAAACTCAAGTGGTGTGTTTTTATGAAGTTCTTATTCAGTGATTAAAGTATACAGCTCAACTGCATTAAATTGGTTTTTAATTAAGTCTGATCCTGAATAGGAATTAGATGTAGCTTTAGTTTTATGAATACATTTTTATTTCCTTGGTAGTTCTGGGTATTTGTAGTAATTAGAAAGGAAAATCTTAATTTTCAGAATAGTAATCACAGTGATTGAGGGGAGGAAGGAGTCAATGCTGAAGAGTAAATGAATTATTGAAACTCTTAATGAAAAGTCGTATTGGTGATGTGTCAAAGGACTCTTAAAAGGTCAACTTTAGTCACTGCTCTGAAGCTCAGCTAGTCTTTTCCTTCTTAAGTCATATCCCTCTTAAGTTGGAAGATCTGGAGACTTATTCTGTACAGTTTGATTTTTTTAAAGGACTGCAGGTGGGCCGGGCATGGTGGCTCAGCCTGTAGTCCCAGCACTTTGGGAGGCTAAGGTGGGCGGATCACCTGAGGTCAGGAGTTCGACACCAGCCTGGCCAACATGGTGAAACCCGGTCTCTACTAAAAATGCAAAAATTAGCTGGGCATGGTGGTACATGCCTGTAATCCCAGCTACTCGGGAGGCTGAGGCAGGAGAATCGCTTGAACCAGGGAGGCGGAGGTTCATACCATTGCACTCCAGCCTGGGCGACAGAGTGAGACTCCATCTCAAAAAAGGAAAGAAAGAAAGACTTCAGGAGGGCATGGTGGCATGGCCACAGGACCATAAAGGGCTGTGGGTCCCACTGAGTCACTGCCCTGTCAGGTCAGGAGGTGACTGCCTGCCTTGACCCTGGCTCCAGTTACTTCCTGTCTGAAGGGAGCAATCCTGTGTGGGTGTGAGCGCTGGGAGGTGGCAGTAGTAACAGGGCTCCCTAACAGATTCTTTGGGCCTTAAAGATGCTCCTCCTCCAGGATCTGTGGGGCACGTTTTCCAAGGAAATATGACACACGTTTTAATTTCAAGTAAAATATATACAGAAAAATGCACTATCATGGGTCTACACAATAAGTATCCACAAACTAAACACGCTTGTGTAACCAGCAGATCAAGAAATAGATTATTCCCGACCTCCCCAACCTCCCTTTGTGCCCAGCTTCCAGCTGCTGCCCATCCCTGGGCAGGGAATACCTGCTCTCTTCTTAATACCAGTGATTGATTTTGCTGTGTTTGAACTTGATGTAAATGGACTCGAACGGCATATGCTCTTTCGTGTCTTTCACCCAACATTATGTGTAAGACTTGTCAGGTTGTTGGGGTAATTGTAGTTTGTTCGTTCTGATTGTTCACTATTCCAGCATGTGAATATATGAGTTTATTCATGTTACTGTAGGTGGCTACTTGGAGAGTTTCCGGTTTGGGGCTATTATAAATAATACTTATGTGAACAGTCATGCCACAGACTTTTGGTGAATGTCTATACACATTTCCATTGGGTCAGTACACCTAGGAGTGGAATTGCAGGACCAGAAGGAGGTAGGTGCTCGGCTTTAAAAGAAAGTGCCAGACTTTTTGTCTGACGTGCTTGTACTAATTTATACTCCCACCAACAGTATATGAATGAGACCTTGGAATATATTATAAAGTGATTGATTCTAAAAGGGAACCAAAATGAATTTTGAGTTACCGCTGATAATAAATAAGAAATGACTCACTCAGGCTGAAGTTCTCTGCTGTCACGGAGATAGGATGTTTGGCTGACAGAATTTGTTAATCAAAGGTGGGCCTTTGCAAAGGGCTTGTGAGACGGTCAGATTTTATTGCTGATGAGCAGGTGATACTTCCTAATATAAACCTGAGTGGAAACGCAGCTCTTCTCAAAGGAGTTAATGGAAGGGAATTCAGTGAAGCTCATATCTTGAGATTGAATTCTTCATCAGAACTCTTCCCCCACAGAGTTAATTTCTTAAAATCAAAAGAACCAACAGTTGGCTACCAGACCTCATTTAGCTCTGGCCCATGCGTTTCTAATTAGAAGCTCTGCTAACCTCTAGGGTTTGGCGGTGTCGGGATACTCCTGCAGGAGCCCTTCATCCCTGGTCCACCTAGTCATGAAGAATGGTATATCCAGGTCCAGAGTTGGCAGTAGTCTCCCTGGCACAGCCAGCCTCCTGGCACATGGCAGCCACATGCTCCCTTTTCTTTGAAGAGCATGGTTGGCTGGAATTTGGTTTGGCTGTTGGGGGTGACAACACTGGGTTTCTGCTGATAGGATAGGCTGGGTGGCCTGAACCAGTCTTCTAATTTGCTGGATGGCCTGGACAAGAGGTAAATGACATTAGAAATACCCTCTGACAAGCCTAGAATGGAAGACACTGAGGCAGGCGGTGAAATGAGTGACCCAAGAGGATAAGGACAACCCTGAGGGCCTTTGGCGAAATGGGCAAACTCTTAAGTTCTGATAGCGTCTCCAGGCACGGGGGCAGAGATTCATGCTGGCAGCGTGATAGGAAACGGGCTCCCTGAGTTGGAACCGCAAGGGGCCATGACACCTTCAGGGAGAAGGGGAGTCAGAGGTAAGCCCATTCTCACCCTACAGGCAGGGTAGGGAGGGGCACTTTCTGAGACGTGGGTATCACAAGTTGTCCCTCATGCAGATCCCGTGGCCTGAGTAGTGGGAAACTCCAAGCTGATTTGAAGATTCTTTATTTGAGAGTGGACCTGCACAGCTAGTGCTCCTGGGCCAGTCCAGGGGCGAGCAGATCTTTGAAGGACTGCACTTTTATCCTGGGCTCACCGAATGCCCAGGTGTAATTATCAAACGAAAGAGAACAGTCCATAGTTAGGAACAACTAAATGCAAAGAATGAAAGCACTGAATGAGGACCAGCAGGAACAGACCTCGGAAAACGTAAGATAATGGACTTGCTGACGGAGATTTTAAAGGCCTTACTCAAACTAATAGGCAAGATTGAAAATATCTACGAAGAAGAGGAAACTATACAATGACCTAACAAATTTGAAAAAGGAACTAGGAACAACTTGTAGACATGAAAAGTTCATGTCTTTGTAGTAAAAATTAACCGCTGGGTTTACTAGCAGATTACATAAAACTGAAGAGAGTGAATGAACTGGAAAGTAGAGAAGAAGAAATATATACAATTTGTCTTAGAGAATCACGTAGATGAATAATTTGTAAGATCAATTAAGATTCAGAAAGAGTAGATTCAGAAGTGTGTCTAATTGGGGTTCCAGGAGAGGAGCGAGGACAGAGCCAGTACTTGAAGAGCTAATGACTGACAATTTTGCGGAATGCATAAGACACCAAACCAAAACCCAAGCAGGATAAATAAAAATAAATCCACATGTAGACATTAGCGATACAGCAACTCGAGGGAAAAATTCAACAGCGAGAGTGAAAAGATCGTTTTAAGATAAAAACCCAAGATAGCTACTGACAGATCTTTGCTAAAGGAACTTCTCAAGGGTATTCTTGGAAGGAAAGTGATGGGAAGGGGAAAAAGAGAGATATAACAAGCAATGATGAGTAAAGAAAGTGGTAAATATTTGGACAATTCTAAATACATTCAAAAGAATAATGTTGGAGAGGCTGGAACAAGGATAAGATTAAATACATGAAAACAGTAACATCTAAGTTGGAAGGGATAATAGAATTAATGGGGGGAGGGTAAAGATTTGACTTTGAATTTTGTGAGCGCTGTGTGTTACTTTTTTTTTTTTAAAGGTAATTGCTAAAGAGTAGAAACAATGGGGAAAAAAAAAAAAAGAGTCCTACAGTACTGATTTTGATGCCAGCCAACCTTGCTACAAAACTTGACAAGAATAGTAGGAGGAAAGAAAACCGTCAGTCAGATCTAATACCTGAAAAGAAAAACCAAATCCAGCAATATGTATGACTAAATCGTTTTATCCTAGGAGTTCAAACCTGGTTTAACGTTTAAAAATAAGCTTATATTCACCTTCCACACCTACAGGTTATAGTAGAATAGTATGATTATCTTAATAAGTACAGATAAAGTATTTGATAAAATTCAACATGTACTTATGTAAACTGGGAATAAGAAAGCCACCTCTTTAACCTGATAAAGGATGCCTACAAAAAGGCTTAGCAAACCTCACACTAAAGAGAGCGGCACCTAAATCTTTCCCTTCGATAGGAGAAAAACAGAATACTTGCTGTCATTCCTTCTCTTCAGCACTGTGTTGAAGGTCCTCCCCTGTGCAAAAATTCAAGAAAACTTAAGCAAACAATAGGAAATTGGGAAGAAAGGAACAAAACTGAGATTCATATGCTTATATGTGTAGTTTTTGTTTTTTTTTAATCGACAGATACGGTAGAATTAGGCAAGTTGCTGTGGGGGAAATAAATCACCCTCCTGGAATCAGTTACGTTTCCGTATACCAGCAACAAGCAGAAAATGAAACTTCAGAGCTACCTTTAGAGTGTGAAAACTATGAAAAACTAAGAAGTCACTCTGAAAACATTAAGACTCCATGGTGTGTATTATTTTCCATCTGGATACTTGGGGTGTTCTATTTAGATCTGATCCTTATAATGGTATACATTAGCACATATGATCCTGATATGATATTGAGTAGACGATTGGTTCATCACTTACCATATTTCATGTGGTGAGGTTTGATTGGATACAATACAGATGAGATTGACCCCTGCTTTGGGGAGACAAATGTTTACCGCACTAAGAACTCCCTTGTGGGCTAGCACATCTTAATTGTTCATATCCATTTTGAGACATCAGTTCTTGATTCCTGCCGCCTAGGCATGCTGTCTTCCTCAATAAGGTGAAGCCTGTAGGCTTCTTGGAAGTTCAAGAAGATTTAGGTCTGTTTAAGTACTTACTTTCTAAAGACTGTTATTTGGAGAGAAACCAAAAATTATCAATTCTTTATTTTTTTCCCCTTCAGGCATAGAAATTGAATCTGAAATGGCTGATGAATAAGCAAAGGCTTATAATAGAATACATTTCTATTTTTAGTGTTTCAGCTCTTCTTTAAAATGAGTAACATTGTTTCTTTAAAATAGGAAGTCCATTATATGTATCCTCCTAGAAATGAAATAAATTTTTTCAGACTCTGTCTTCGTTACTGCATTTTCTCTTAGTTTCTTTGGGTTAAAAAAAAAATCAGAGATTACACTTAAAATTTTAGATCAACTGATCTGAAACCCTCTTCTCCAACACTTAGAAATGTTACGTAGTTAGTAAGCACTCTTTACAATGCATAGTAGTGCATTCACAAGGTAGGGAAAGAGATGACCAGAGTTGATAAGCCAAGATTGTGGAGAGTGACTGGGGCTTGCAGTGAGCTGACCCTGGAACAGGGGTAGGGGTGCGGTATTATCAGTTGAAGTCATCTGAGTCTTTGGCTTTAACGTCCAGGGGGAATGGGATTTTGTCTGAGATTGGGAATGGGAACTGAGCCTTCTGTCACATCCCCCTGTAAGACTTGAACCCTTGAAGGGCTGTACCCTCAATGGGAGGGCAGACTAGAAGGAACACCTACCCAGTAGTAGTAAGGGGAGATGAAAGGTAAGAATTTATCTGTTTTGTCCTGGGCAAGGGAGGCATGGTCTCCTGATAATTTGTAAGAGGAGACCATGCCTCCTATAAAAGTTAGTCCCTGGCTGGTCTTCCCTGAGGGCCTAGTTGAAGCAAAGATAAAACAACTCATTAGAGGCAGGCCCACAACTCAGCCCATTAAGGGTTGCCAGTGATAAAGCCCCACCAAAGATATAATATAAAATTACTATTAAAGGTAGAAAAGAAGACAATGAAAATAGAAAAACCAGTCAGACTTAAAAAACAAATTGAGTAACTCAAAGGACTGATTATAGAGCAGGTAAGATTTAGCTGAAGACTGGAGTGTAGGTCTAACGAGTTCTCCAAATGGTAGCACAAAGAGATTGAGGTCTAATTAGGAGCTCTACCAGGAAGGAATAGGGACCAGACCATTTTCCAAGAACTGAGTGGCCAAGGATTTTCCAGAATTGAAGAAAAACATAACTCCTCACACTCAGTACAGTGAACCTGAATAAGTTAAATACACACTTAAAAACATTTTACTGAGTCCTTAGAACCCCAGAAATGGGTCTTAAAAGTAATGAGAGATTAAAAAGATATTACAAGGGAATGACAAATAGACTGACAGTGTGTTTCCAAACATCCCATCAAGAAAAGGCGGGAAGACAAGTGAAATAATATCTTCAATGTGGTGAGAGAAAACTGTCAGCATGGAATTCTGTTCTCAGTTAATCTATGAAGGTGAAGTAAATTTTCTCAGGGCTTTAAGGACTGAGAAAGTTTATGAAGGAGAGATCCTTGCTGAAAGATCTACTCAAGGATGTACTTTGGCAAGACCCTAAAAAAAGGAATGAGATGCAAGAAACAGTGATGAGCAGATGGCCAGCGTTTGGGTAAACAAGTAAGTATCAGCTGTCCAGAACCAAACAACACTGACTAGTCCATATGTGTGTGTGATGGGGGCTCATGTCGCAGGGAAGGGCAGCAGACCTAAGACCTTGTAGGTGGTTCGACCACTGGGGAGGCAGCTGGAGACATTCGTGAAATTCAGTCATGTATGGATGTTAGGAAGCTGTGTTAGCATCACAGCTTGTAGGATGAAGCGATAGCAGTACTTAGGGAGAAATTTATTGCCTTAAATATTTGCTGCCAGAAAAGAGAAAGGACTGAAAGTTAATAAATGGCCATGTCAGGAAGTTAGAAAAGACAGAATAAACCAATGGAAGGAGGGAGGAAGGAATAATGAATATTAATTTTATAGATTGGATCACAAACCCAACAGCTGGTCCCAGAATCATCGATGAAATTGATGCGTTAAATTGTATAGAAATTGTTAAAAATCAGCACTCTAGCCACCCTTCCCCCTTTTAAAGAAAAGATCTCAGAACACTAATCCTGACAGTTTTATGGGCAAGTTCTTCCAGATCTACAAAGAATAGATAACCCTAACTTTACACAAACTATCCCAAAGAATAAGGGAAAAGGAATGATTTTTAGCTCATTCTGTGAGACTCAAGTGACTCTAATACCAAGATCAGAGAACAGTCTGAGAATGACCTCTGATTGTTCTCATTTTAAAATACACATAGAAATCTCACATAAAAATGTGAACAAACCAAATCTAGTGATATATTAGAATCTCCTTCAAGAAAACATTTATACCATAGAAACTTTATGAACTGACATTAGACTGTGCATTACTCTGATTCCACATATTTCAGATTAAAGGAGAAAATGTCAACTGGTAAAGACAAAGCAATTGGTAAAATCCAATACTCAATTATATTAAAAAGATAAGTAGGAACATAAGACATGCTACTTAACCTGAGGAAAGATTTCTGCTGGAAACCTACAGTTGGTACAACACTGGTAGTAAAACATTAGAAGCAGTGACTTGGGAATGCCACAAGGCAGCTTATCGCACAGACTCTGCTCAGTACTGCACTGGAGTTCTCAGCCAGCTCTGTTAAGCCAAGAAAAAGAAATGAGATCATATGGTTTGGAAAGCAAGAAACAATACTGTCTTTTTTTCCACAGCTTCTTATTAAAAAAAAATCAGAAAGAATCTACAAAATCCTAGATTTTGCAAGAGCGTAGATGATAGCTGGGTAATTGATACATATGCAGAAATGAATTACTTTGCTGGTTGTCTATAGCTGGGAAATAGAAGAAGTAATTTACAAAAGATATTCTAACCATCAACAAAACAACATATAAGACTTTTATGGAGAAAATCATTAAAATCTTATAGAAGTATGGAAGAAAACTTTTTTTTTTTTTTTTTTTGTTTTGGTCTTGCTATGATGCTCAGGCTGGTGTTCAACTCCAAGGCTCAAGTGATCTCCTGCCTCCGCCCCAAGTAGCTCAGACTACAGACGTGAACCACTGCCTGGCTTCGAAGAAAACATTTAAATCAATGTAGTGCTCTAGCATACCATATTCATTGACAGCTTCTATAGTTAGAAATAGCAGTCTTTCCTACATTCATGTATAAACTCAGTGTGATTCAAATACAAATTCCAGTAGAGGTTTTGTAGGGGATGCTTAAGCTGAAAGTGTGGTATTGATGTAGGGCATAAATATAACAGTGGAACAAAATGTAGAATCTAGAAGCAGATCCACTAAATGGCACAGAGACAGCCATCTGAGTCTGTGGGGGAAGGAAAAGACCAGTCAGGAAATGGTGCTGGGTAATTAAACTGATGGGGAAAGTTTTATCACTGTTTCCTGTCACATACCAAAGTAAATTCCTGGTGATTGAAAACCTGACTTTGAAATGCAGTACCAAAGTCTTTTGAAGAAAATAACATATAAACAGTGAAATGACTTCTGTCGCAATGGTTGTCTCCAGGAAGCGACCCTGAGTGGCTGGCATCAGGGCTATAAAGGAGATTTTTCACTCTGTATGGTAGACATGTCACACTACAGTTTTGTGTGATAGCATACATTTTTAAAACCTAAAAGCATAGAAGTATGGATAATAATTTGTGGTTCAGCTATGTAATATAGGAGTGAAAATAAATAAACCGCACCTTGGCCAATATGGTGAAACCCCATCTCTACTAAAAACTACAAAAATTAGCTGGACGTGGTGTGGTGGCGCAGGCCTGTAATCCCAGCTACTCAAGAGGCTGAGGCACAAGAATAGCTTGAACCTGAGAGGCAGCGGTTGCAGTGAGCTAGGATCGTGCCACTGAGCTCCAGCCTGGGCAACAGAGAGAGACTTTGTCTCCAAAAAAAAAAAAAAAAAAAAAAAAACAGAATAAACCAAAGCTATGTGTATTTATATGAACAAATCTCACAAAGTTTAGTCAAAAAATGTTACCAAATAGCACCTAGAACAATGTCACTTACACAGCAATTACCAACACACAAAGCAACGGCTGTATTTTGTTTGTAGAGATACATGTAATAGATGCATAAGCAGGTGGAAGTGGTAAGTGACCCATTCAGAGTGTTGTCCCCCTGTAGAAGGGAGATGGCATATATATACTTATACACATGTGTGTCCCCCCCCACATATATATATACACACACACATACATATATATAAATATCTGAAGTGCATATGGCAAAATTAGGGTTTGGTGAACCTGGGTGGTAGGCTAATGGATGTTCATATTTTTCTTCTTAGTCTTTTGTATGAGTCATTTCATAATACTTTAAAAATTAGGAGCTGTTGATTCTGATGTAGCCATGTCTACTAGGGTCTCTTTTATTGTCATTCTGTTTTAGTTTTGTACCTTCCTACCAGGTCACCTTATGCTACGCCCAGGAAATGGATCTGGGGGTTTGTTTTCTTTGACCACCCGTATCCCACGGCTTCTCCAAGCTTCCACACAGGGTCCCCCGTGGAGCTGCTGCTTAGTAATGAGACAGAGCCCTGGGAGCTGTTGAGGGTCCTTTCACAAAACCTACCAAAATCCCAGCTGCCAAATTGGACCCAACTGACTTGGCCGGGCCATGTGAATTAGCAAATAGCTTCTGTGTCTAAAGAGTTTGGGGCTTCCTCTTACTTTTGTTCCCCGAATCTTAAGAACAGAAGAAGAGCCGTTCTCTCGAGACCTTAGAGGTGGGCCAGAGAGTTCAGTGCGTTGAACTCTGGGCAGCCTCCTACATCCTTCCCTCTTGGGGCCTTCATCTTTTTGTCTTACAGTCTGAGTGTGTTGGCAATATCGTAGTCCCCCTTTATCTATGGTTTCACTCTGTGGTTTCAGTTACCAGCAGAAAGCTGTGGTCTGAAAATATTGAATGGAAAATTTCAGAAAGAAACTCTTCCTGAGTTTTAAGTTGCATGCCATTCTGAGTAGCGTCTTGCCCAGGGTGTGAACCGTCCCGTGTGCAGTGGATTCACGCCGTCTATGTTACCTGCCTGTGCGTCACTTGGTGGCCCTCTGGGCTCTCAGATCCACTGTCTGGTATCACAGTGCGTTTGTTTGTGTCACCCTTATTTTACTTAATCATTACCCCAAAGTACAGGAGTGGTGATGCTAGCATATGGTTATAATTGTTCTATTTTATTATTGTTAATGTCGTACTGTGGCTAATTTCTAAATTAAATTTTATCATAGGTATGTAGGTATAAGAAAAAAAAATAGTGTATATAGGGTTCAGTATTACTGCAGTTTCAGACCCACTGGGGCTGTTGGGATGTTTCCCAGAAGATAAGGGAGGACCACTACAGCGAGTAAAAGTACATATTTGACAGAAGTTTCTGAAATTGACAGAATATAGATCCCTGTGGTCAGACCCTACAAGATATGGGTGGGCACACATCTGCCCTAACTCTTTGGTGCAATGGAGGAAGCCCTAGAAAAGGTTTCTGTTGGGGGCCTCTTATCATGGTGTGGATTTCAGGAGCAGAGCTCCCGGAATGCTGATTGTGAGAACCGAATTTGAGAGGCATCCCTGGCTTCATCATTTCTGTGAATCAGGGATCTCCCAGCGTGATGTTTATGCCCCACCAAAGCTGACTCTGCAAAGCAGCAGAAAGGCTGTTTTTCATTTCGATTTCTTTGCTGTCCGTGGTGGTATTGCCTTAGCCTTAAATGTTTCAGTGTATTGCTACTTAAGACTAGGGCTTTTCATTTTCTTGTGAAAGATTTCTTTTAAAAAATTCTAACTTGGAAATTAGTGGTGGGGATGTAATTTCTTTTTCTGCAAAAGTTGGGAAGACACATTTGTGCTGCTATAAAACATATATTTGTGTGCGTTGTAAAGGAAAAATATTCTCCCGAGTTTGCTTTTCTCGATTCTGGGTCCCAACAGAGAATATATTTTTGTATTCTGTGTTTGCCTATGTTGAGTGAGATTAAAAGTTCATTTTCCAGCCTTGGCTTTTCTGCCAGAGTTTAGAAGTTGGAAACCACAAGGCTGCACAGAGCCCCACAGTCCTCGACTGTGAACAGGCCCCGCTTTGTGCATGGACGTTCACTGCATCACGGTCTGCAACCAGTGCCAGCTGCGACTCCGTGGAGACCACCTCTCGAGCACATGGTTGTTGGGAAACCATTTGGGGTTTACGGAGCCTCGGTGAGGATGACCTCGGGCCCCGAATGTTCGTTTCTCTAGAGAAGGGGAGTGTTTTAGAGGATTTTTTATTTTTTTTAATAGAGATGAGGTCTCCTGTGTTGCCTGGGTTGGCCTTGAACTCCAGAGCTCAGGCGATCCTCCTGCCTCAGCTTCCCAAAGTGCTGAGATCACAGGCTTGTACCACCACGCCTGGCCTTAGGATTTTTGAATGTAGTGATTATAATGTGATGTCCATTTTGGGAGAGTTCTGAGAAATCTTGTAAGTACTCAGAGGAGTTTTGGTTGGTGGGTACCTGCCAAAAAGTGAGGGTTGACTGTACCATGTTCCAGACCTGCTTGTCCCCATCCTCCTACCCACTGAATCCATGCACAGCTGAGCAGGGTGTGATTTCCTTTTTAACACCCCGCTTGAGAGTGTGTTCTCGGAAGGCCAGTTCCTGGTACTTTCCCTCGATGATCAAACGTGAGAGTGCCCTGGCTGTGGATCACACTGCTACTGCCCACAGCCAGAGGTCAGAACCCATTTGGAAACATAAATGCCGCCTGACCCAGGATTGAAAGGCCTCCATGAGCTCCCCTAAGACTTTGTTTGTAGAGGTTAAGACTGGAATGAAAAGTGTGACTCGGTCCCGCTCAGTGCAGAGTGACAGTGTGCGAGAAGTGTGTTGCCACGCGGCTGATAGAGTTGTCCCCAGGGAGGGCATATGCTGGGAGGTTTTCTTGTCATGAGTGTTTTAAACCCTCTTCCTGCAAAAGTCTTAGAAAGGCCAAAGTAATGTGTTCCTTCTGTGATAAGAGTGAGAGTGAATTTTTTTTTTTTTTTTTTTTTTAAGACGGAGTCTTCGCTCTGTCACCCAGGCTGGAGTGCAGTGGTGCGATCTCGGCTCTCTGCAAACTCTGCCTCCCAGGTTCACACCATTCTCCTGCCTCAGCCTCTCGAGTAGCTGGGACTACAGGCCCCTGCCACCACGCCTGGCTAATGTTTTGTATTTTTAGTAGAGACGGGGTTTCACTGTGTCAGCCAGGATGGTCTCAATCTCCTGACCTCGTGATCTGCCAGCCTCGGCCTCCGAAAGTGCTAGGATTACAGGCGTGAGCCACCGCGCCCGGCCGAGAGTGATTTGTCTTAGAACACGATGCCAAGACGTTGAAAACAGTCTCCCTTCTCAGTCCCTTCTTTAAAATGCCCTCATATCAAAATTTGCATTTGATTCCTACTCTGTTTCCCTTTTCTGTATCCACTCAAGAGGAGTGGGGATCTCAGTTTCTTAGGAGAAGAATCTCAGTATCTGAGCCACTAAGCAACCTGGACCCAGCCTCCCACAGCATCTAGAGGTTTTGCAGGGCAATGCTGGGGGAGGCCTGTCCACTTCCCCTCCTCTCCTCTTCCACCTCTTTCTACTTCCCCTTACCCACCCCTTCTTACCCTTGTGTTCTCTTTGCTCATTCCATTGATCTTTGTTAGAGGGACTCGGGACTCAGTTGAATGTATCCAAATACATACACCTCCTGGAGTTCCTCAGTGAAGTGGAACTTAGCCTGGGCTGTGGCAGGAAGGTGTATGAACCTGGTTGCCTCTGAGCCATTGGACTTTGGTCCATAGGCAGTGAGAACCGTGTTGTTCGTCCTCATGGTTTGGGGAGCGTTGTCTGACAGAGCGCCTGGTGACACTGTCTCCTCACCCTCTGTGCACCTTCTGGATGTGAAATTCCAAACCTGGCATCTTCTGGGCCTCCCAAGACTGAT